TACCCTGTTTCATTGCTTGTTTTCTTTTCATTTTTGTTGGGATATTATCTGTATGTTCTGTTTTCTTGGGTGAAGTTGTTTTCTTTGGATTGGAGTTTTCCTTCTACTATCTTCTGTAGGGTTGGTTTGCTGTGTAGATATTGCGTAAATTTAGTTTTGTCATGGAATATTTTGTTTTCTCCATCTATGTTGGTTGAAAGCTTTGCAGGGTATAGTAGTCTGGGTTGACATTTGTGATCTCTTAGAGTCTCCATGATACTTCCCCAGGCCCTTCTGGCTTTCATAGTTTGTGATGAGAAGTCCGGTGTGATTCTGATAGGTTACTTGGGCTTTTTCCCTTGCTGCTTTTAATATCTTTTCTTTGTTCTGTAGATTTAGTGTTTTGACTATGATGTGACGTGATGTGTTTCTTTTCTGGTCTAGTCTATTTGGTGTTCTGTAGGCCTCTTGTATATTTATGGACATCTCCTTCTTTAAGTTGGGAAAGTTTTCTTCTATAATTTTCTTGAAAATATTTTACGGACCTTTGCGCCTGATGTCTTCTTTTTCATCAATTCCTATTATTCTTAGATTTTTGTCTTTGCATAGTGTCCTTGATTTCTTGGATATTTTGTGATTGGAACTTTTCTGATTTTACTTTTTCTTTGAGAGAAGTATCAATTTCTGCAAGTGTGTCTTCAGCTCCAGAGATTCTCTCTTCCATCTCTTGTATTCTGTTGGTGATGCTTACTGTTTTGGTTCCTGATCTTTTCTCCATGTTCTCCAGCTCAAGGGTTTTCTCAGTTTGTGTTTTCTTTATTGATTCTAATTCTGTTTTCATGCCTTGCACCATCTATTTCATGTGTTTGAATTTGGATTCCTGTCTCTCTACGATGGTCTCTATTTCTTTGTTCATTTCCTTTTTATATACCACTAATTTCATCTCTACTTGTGCCTCTATTTGTTTGGCTATGTTTGTCTGTGTTTCTTTAAGGATTTTGTCTATTTCTTCTTTCTTTACCTCCAATTGACTGGCCAACTCTTTGAAAGATTTGTTCATTTCCTCCTCATGAGCCTCAAGTAATTGGGTAATCATAGCTTTAACTTCATTTTCCTGTGCTTCTGATGAATTGGAGTATCCATCAATTTTGGGGTTTGCTGGTGAAGTCATGATGTCCTGATTTATGTTGGAAGTGTTCTTTCGCCTACCCCTGGCCATTGGCTTATCTGAAAACTTCCCTGTTTGTTTTTGGATTCTGCAGATCAGATTGGTACTGTCTGTCTCTGGCGTCTAGAGAGTTCTTCAGGAAGCTTAGAGTGGTCCCTGTACCTGTGGGAGAAAAGTACGCAGGCGCAAATGGGGCAAATGCAGGCGTGCGTGTATGTGTGTGTGTGTGTGTGTGTGTGTGTGTGTGTGTGTGGAAGTGTGCGTGGACGTGTGTCTCGAGGGACAGAGTGATGGGTATTGTTGAACCCTTGAGTGTGTGGGAGGGGCTCTGCACTGTGTATGTCGCAGGCGATAGTGATGATCGTAGCACAATTTCTGGCATTAACTGCCTTAACTCCTCAAACAGACCCACAGAGCAGGAACTTCAATGTCCCAAGTGCCCCTCTGTTTCCCAAAGTGGGTATATGGGTGGGAGGGGGTTCAATGCCTAGCTTCTGTTTTAGAAGGACCCAGGATCTGGGGATCTGCAGATTCTCAAGGGTGCATTCACTTACAGTCAGGTCACTTGGCAGATATCGGGGTATCCGGGCTCTCTGCTCTCTGGTTTGGCCCTGCTTCTTTGATGTGCTCCGCCAGCTCCGTGCTGCTGTCACTGCCAGGTTATGAGGTCTTGCTGCAGCTGGAGATTTCAAGGTGTTCACGTCAGTAGGGATCGGTGTAACCAGGCTCTCTGTTCTCTGGTTTGGCCCTGGTTAGTCTTAAACTGGAGGGCTGATGTGCCCTGCCAGCTCAGTGCTGCTCTGCTGCCAGGTTAGAAAGTCCCGCTGTAACTGGAGACTGGGTTGCTAGTCCAGATGCTTTCTGTGAAGTCTTGGAGTCTCTCCACTGTGCTCTCCAAGCTTGGGAGGCCCAGTGCCTGGTGTGCCTAGCTAGTGTGGCGTTTCTGCCTGGTTTTGGTGAGTATATAGCGTATTCTCTGTCACTGTGGGATTGGGCGGGCCTTACTGTCAGTGATCGCGATCCTGAGGAGCTAGTATGGGGGCTAGCAGACTGGGCCCTTGGAGGATGGTGCAGCCGCCGAGCGAATCTGGGGCTCCGAGACACAGTACTGCTGGCATTTGCCGCTAAAGGGCTTGGAGTTCTGCCTCAATGGCTGCAGACCCCAGGCAGTTAGGTCTGTGCTGAGAAAGATGAGTCCACTGTGCCGCTGTGCCAAGGAGTAGGGAGGTCAACTCAGAGGTTTAGCTTTTCCACAGCTCAAAAACTGTGTGTGCTATTCGCCATCAGATTAAAATTCTTACAGACTTATTTTCATAAACTATAGATAGATTCACCTCAAACAATTTTTTTTCTAATGAACTGGCATTTAATAATTTTTTTTTAAAGTAGTAAGACCTTCTGAGAAATGGTAACACTAAAATAAGTCATGGAAAATAGGAGTATGTACAAATACGCAATAGAAAGTTAGCAAACGTGCACAATTGTTGGGCCTGATAAGTCCTGCTGTATCTACCTGAGCCTGGCTCGAGTTTGGAGACCTGTCTTTAGCTTCCGATTTAAGAGGTGCCACTTACAGGCAAAAGTGATTCAGCATATCCGCCTTAAAATCACCCCTGCCTGGTAACTGTTACATGGAGTTTTGTCCCTGGCCCACCTCTCCTTGCATTACCTAACCTTGCTCTCTATGTCATTTTACCTCACTTCCTTAATCCTGCCTCCTGACCCAAACCTATAAAAAGGACCGTTTTATTCAATAAACCGAGTTCCTGCTTCGACAGATCTCCTGGCTCAGTGGTGGTTTATTTCCTGGGACATCCCGGGAGGTCCGGGCCGTGGAAACTCATCATCCTGTTCAGCCATGGAGGGTGTCCAGCTGGACTGGCCAACCCTCCTCTCAGCTCCACCTGCCAGATATCGACCCGGCACACAATGAAAGCACAGCCATGAGCCTACTTCTGATTTTGCCACTAGCATCCAGTGATGTGAATCATGATTTTCTAATGTGTAGAGAAATTTTAATCCAGCAATATTCTAAGTCTGTGATCTGGCTGAAATGCAGACACCCCCAAACAATGATGGTAAAGTCAGTTTGTAGAAGAAAACACCCTTGTTTGAAATATTTCTAAGTGGGGTGCAGACAAAATGACCAATCAGAGAAATATTTGTCAGAATGAGTCAAATATAGGATACACCCAACTTTCAGGAGACGAACAGGAAAGAGAAGCTGACACAGAGAAAGAGAGTGAGATAGATAGAGAGAGAGAGAGAGAGAGAGAGAGAGAGAGAGGAGAGCAGTTTAAAAAAAACTGGGACAGATTTACAGAAACAAGTTGTAGAGAGAACAAAAGAAGCTATACATTGGTGAAGACAGAGAATGTGGAACCAAAAGATTACACCAGATTGCCAGAGTTGCTTTAAGGCCAAGGAGAGCAGTTCAGCCAGAAGCCAAGAAATGCCAGCATTGAATCAGCCATTTTGAAGAAGAGTTTGAGCCAGAACAGATAAGTTGAGCCTGCCATCCAGAGTTCAGAAAGAACAAGAATGGGTGAGCTTATTCAACAGTAAATCTCAGAGTATAAAAGTATTCTAGGCCGAGATTAATTGTATGGAGGATAGAAGCTTTTAGGACTAGGACTAGGATAGCAGACAGAGGCAGTAAGCATTCATGATGGCAGACAAACAGAAGCTATTTTTACACTAATGCATAAACAAGATTTTAAAAATGAATGAACATGAAAGAAGGGCAAGAAATATATAAGAAATGAAAGCATCTCCAAAGAAAAAATACCTGCAGATACAACTTTCAACTCTAGTTTCACATTTAGATAGATGCTCTATTATCATTATAACAAAACTTACTAAATCATCAGGTAATATTGATGATTTAGGATAATAAGGATAATAATATCCTTTACTAAAGGATAAAAATTAACTATAGACCACTTACAGATTTAACAAGTACCTCTGGTACCATCTCACTTATTTAATTTTGATAGATGTTGGTAAAACTGGAAGTCATGATCAATCAGAAGCCACAATCCACTTGTAAAATGAAAATATCTTTGCAGGTCCCAGTGTGGAACCTCATGCCTCGTGCATGGTTCATGAAGTCTCTACCACTGAGTTATAGTTGCACCCTAAAGGGAACAAAAATATCTTAAAAGCAGCTTCAGCATCTAAATGAATTCCTAATAGAGCATCAATTGTTTTATTTTCCAACTCAAAGAGAAAATTGTGAATGGTTCTACATATTCACCAAATGTGAATAAACATATCATAATAGCTGGGTTCTCGTAAACTATGCATGTTCAAACATTAAAACATTCACCTGCTATAACACTAAACTGTTAAGAGGAAGCAGTTCAAAGGCCATTACACAGCTCATAAGCCCATCCAGACTTTTCCCCAAGGAGTCCTTTCTGGACAACAGTGAAACACATCTTCATTGATGTTGAGATTTGTCACGGTACACAACTGTGTTAATGATCTGAGTCATAACACTGTATGTCTTGGACTTTCTACAGAGGACCTTGCCCCTTCTGGAGCAATATGTTTAAGAGGGTCACCCTTTGGAAGATGTTGTGACTTACTCTTCCGCTGCCCCCCAAAAGAAGTGGCATCCATCAAACAGCTTTGGTAACAGCTGCTCTCCTGCTCCTCTGTGGACCTCCAGAAATCTCACCATTTTCTTCCTGTTCATGTACTTTGCTATGCAAACATTTACCCTATTACACTATAGGACCCAGTATCCACTGAGAATTCCCAAGCATACATTTCAAAGTACTTTGAGCTTCATCTCCAGGAACAATGACATGAGTTACTGTACTGTCTTTTTAACCTTGAGACCTATCTCCCTGACTCTAGAGGTATTGCAGGTGTGATTGATAGGTCACATGCGCATCAGTAGGTGGCAGAGAGATTAGAGATCATGTCTATGCTCCGTCTTCTGACCTGTGAACATCTGGATGACCAGTAGCCTAGCATTCCCTGAAAATGTGAGACTGAGAAAACTACCAGTGCAGCACCAGGGGTCTTGGACAGGCAGCCAGCCTGAGAAGACTACCAGCCTGCACAGTGCAGGTCAGCACAGACTAGAACACACTGCGTGGGGAGTGCAGACCCCAGGCAAGAGTGAGCCAGAGAAAGATAACCTTCTCAAAGGGCCACTCACGTGGGCCTGGGCAACTAGCAAGCCCAAGATTACCACTAGACCTGTGCCATGAGGGCTGGTCAGAGAGCTAACCTGAGATAACCATTAGTCCATGTCTGTGGAGGCTGAGAGGGCCAGGTCATTCATGAGATGACCAACATCCAGGTCTGCTAAGGCCTGGAGGAGCAGACTATGTCTGCAATGACCATCAGTCCAGGGTTGCACATGCCTGGAGGTACAGAGGATGGCTAGGATGACCACTGCTCAGTGCCAGAATGCATGAATGGACATAGTACTCCTGAAACTACTCAAGATACTTAGAGACCCCAGGTGCCACTAAGAAGACCAAGTAAGAAGTGGAGAAATGGAAGAGAAAGAGAAGATGATGGGCACAATGAAGAGAGGCAGAACTGGATGCTCAAGAGTAGTGAGGAACAGCCTGATGTGAGATGCTGGTGATGCCACCTAGGACCATGGTGGGTATGTGGCCTGTGCTGCCGCAGGCAGACATATCTGGGTCTATGGCCCTATAGCAGCAGGGGTCTGTTACCACCAAAGGCCGGGTAGGCATCTGGTCTAGGCCATGGACATATAGATGTCTGAGGGCTGTGCAGAACTGCCCCTACCTCTCATCTGGGCATTGTGGGAGAGCTGGTCCTGGAGGCATGAGAGCAAGAGAGGCTGGCTCTACCCAATCCAGGTGGAGCACTCGGGAGAGCAGGCCAGGGCACTGCATAAATTATGAATAAGCCGACCTCAATAATATGAGCTTGGGAGAGCAGGCCCTGACACTTGTCTCCTGTGCAATGGTGATGGCATGGGGGAGGGAGAGATACACTCTTCCTCCTTGCCCATCACCACCCACAGCCAGTGGGAGATCTAGCCCCAAAGTCCTCAGAGCAAGAGATCTGGCCCTGTCCTTTATCAGCTACAGCACTCAGGAAGGTGGGCCTTGCACTTGCTCTGAATAGTAGAGCTGATGCTAATGGCATAGGCTCAAATTAGCCATCCCAAGCTGTAAGCATGGAAGGACTGGCCCCATATTTGTCTGCCATGCAGCAGCATGGGCTAGGGAGAGATGCCTTCCCCAGATTTTGCACCGTGCCACCAATAACAGGTGGGATAGCTGGCCTGGGAGAGCAGGAAAGCTGTCCCTGCCCCTCACCTGCTGCAGAACTCAGGACAGTGGATCATGAACCTTGCCTGAACAGCAGAGTAGAGCTGGCCTTGGGTTGCATATGAGCACAGGAGAGCCAGCTCCACCTTTTGTGTGATGTGTGATGCCACAGATGAGGGAGAGACACCATACTCCCGTCCCTAATCCCTCTCTATCTACAGCACACTAGAGAGCTGGCCCCAGGCTCATGAAAGTGGAATTACTGGCTATATCCCTCACATACTGCATCACTAAAGAGAGCAGACTATGTCCTGCTCGCCCTGGTTTCAGGTGTGGCCAGTGAGCAGTCCACAGTGGTGGACAGGAGACTGGGAGAGCCAGTGGGCAGTCCAGCTCAGATACCTCTCAGGCCCAGATGTAGGGTTCTGAATTGGCCCACCCCAACATCTACCCATCGAGAAACTGCTGGAATGCATTAAGGTGACTGTCCTACAGATCCAAAACAGCAGGTCCTCCATGCCACATGGTAATAACAGGATATCTAAGAGAGGTCCTGGTGAGATTACAATATTGATAGAGTAGCAGAAGCCAAAGGCCTCATACCAGACCAACAAGTCACTGCAATGAACATTTACAAGCAAGAAGTATGGACAAAAGCATATAGGATTGGATACATTGTGACACACTACAGCTTGCACAATGAGATTTTTCTTCAGTGTTGTGGGGGAGGTTGGAAGGGTGGAGGACAAGTATTAGGAGAGGACATATGAGTGGGATTTGGTAGCAGAGTGTTAAATTCACAAAGAACCAAAGTTTAAAAAGAAGAACTATCTTAAATTGGCTGAATATTTCCCATTGTTCTGTAGAAAGCCCACAGCCCATCAGTACCAGCAGCCCATTTTTTTTTTTAACTGCCCAGAATTCACAATCAATCAAAGGCTAGTTGAAAATGATTCATTCTTCTTTGGTAGCAGCAATAATGACATTATATTTTCATTGTCTATATAATCCATGGGCCATGCACCAAACATGTTAGTGGCATTTCATGAGGCATATTCTTGACCATATCCACTTATACATTCCTGGCAATGATATGGACTGGTGAGGGATTTGATAATCAATGGTGTTCATCAAAGCATTACTATGGAGCAGCAATTCTGCTACCTTCAGGGTGTTAACTGCTGGCTTTATGCATTTTTGTCTGTCCAGGAAGGCTATTTACAGCCAGTCAGTACCGATTTATAAGAGGTATTCAACAGAAGGTATATAGCTTTTCATAAAAACAATGTGAAGCTGAGTTTCTCCCCTGTGATTTCTTTTTTTTTTTTTTGAACTTGGTACTTTATTTTTTTTTAATTTTTTATTAATTACACTTTATTCATTTTGTATCCCCCCATAAGCCCCTCCCTCCTCCCCTCCCGATCCCACCCTCCCTCCCCTTTCTGCATGCATGTCACTCCCCAAGTCCACTGATAGGGGACGTTCTCCTCTTCTTTCTGATCTTAGTCTATCAGTTCTCATCAAAAGTGGCTGCATTGTCCTCTACTGTGGCCTGGTAAGGCTGCTCCCCCCTCAGGGGGAAGTGATCAACGAGCAGGCCAATCAGATTATGTCAGAGGCAGTCCCTCCTCCCATTACTATGTAACCCACTTGGACACTGAACTGCCATGGGCTACACCTGTGATTTCTTTTCCCAGCTGCAATGCTGGGTAACAGCTTCATTGTGGACGAATTTGACATTATTTGTCTGTGAGACGAGCTATTCAGGTGAGGTAGGCATGTTCCTGGTGAAGCTCAGGGGTCATCTGGTACATTACTGTTTCTCCTGAGTGTGATATCAACTTGAAGTCGGCTAAAAGTTAGTGAAGAACCATTTACCAGCAGTACATTTTCTGCAGGCACTGTTGGCTTAACCAAATCTCCACTGGTGTTTGGAATGTTGGTCCCATGTCTCTTAGTAGTAGGATTAGGAGGCCTGTTGCAACTTTGGCAATTTCCATTATGTCCTAACTAAAAAAGACTTTGTACAAAGCCTTCTCAGAAGTCTCTTCCCTCTTGCTCACAGCGTCTCTGGATGCTATATGCTCAGCCAGTGGTAAAGAGACTTCAATCAAGCTTCTGGAACAGTCAGACTTTGCAACAGAGCCACTTACCAATAAGTCTATTTCACCATTTACCCATGGACCCTCAACAACTGGCTACAAAGCAAACGAGCTTCTCTTCCAATTCCTCTTTGGAATCAAATCTACCATCCTCTGGATTTGGCTTTACATTCCACTGCTGGTTTATCTCAGCTAAAGATTTCTGATGCTTCGTTTTTTGAAAATGTCCTAAATACTCTTTTATTCCTTTTAGTAACAACTTTAGAGAGATAGGCAAAAAAAAAAAAAAAAAAAAAAAAAAAAAATTATACATTGAGTCTTACTGAGCTTTGACATCATCTGTCTTTTGAGGCATGGTTTGTGTTGACACTTTATTTACAACCTATTTGCCCTTGTTTTGAGGACTACCACACATTTTTATTGAATTCTTTTTTATTTCTACATTGCCATATAAACTTGCTCTATTTTTTTATCTGAAAGTTTATTGTTGATAATTTGGAAACTTTTTACAAAGCTAGATCATGCTATTCAGTTGTCTCCTTATCTTGAAGTCTAGGAATCAGGCTGAGGTATAATACACTCACCATCATAATCCAGCACAGTCACTTATATAATCACTACAGATTATACAGTCCACACCCACCTAAGCACATGGGCTGTTTCAGAATATTAACACATGGGAAGCAGTACAGGAAATTCTCTCTTTGAGCAAGCTGCACCTGTTTGTGGGTCCACAGCTGGCAATGGAGGGTGTGAAAGAAAGCTCCTTTCGGATTCAGTCCTTAGCCAAAAGGCATCTAAACCCTCAGAAGTTAGAGGCTCCACTGGATGCCCTGTTGATCACTGTCTGGTCTGGGTGCACTTGATGTTTCAGAGGCTTGGAGATGTCTGGGGCTGGGCTACTGAGTTGATTAAAAAAACAAACAAAAAACTAAATGTGATGAGATAAGCAGCACTAACCTCCAATGGAAATAGTTTACCTTTTATCTGATCTCAGGTTCATGGTGTCTTTTCCTGAGCTGACCTGGTGTTTTGGGTTTGTTTTTTGTTTTGTTTTTGGTTTTTTTTTGTTTGGGTTTTTTTTTTTTTTTTTTTTTTTTTTTTTTTTTTTTTTTTTTTTTTTTGGTTTTGTTTTGTTTTCCTTCTCCCTGTCATAGAACCAGAAGGCCAGACTAACACAGGACAGAAGCTTTGGAGTGAGCTATTACACAAACTTCTTGGGTCTAATGAAGGAAACACAAATCCTATCTTTAGAGCCAGATTTTTAGAAGAGCAAAACACCATTGACAATTTTCCAATATCCTCCATACCCAAAGGCATTTGAACCCAGTGACTAGAAGGAGGGATGAGAGTGGGAAGCAAAGACGGCTGGCTTAGAGATAAAGAATTCTTGGGACGTTTGTTTGTGCGGTGGCAGCAGTTTCACAATCTGTCTTTTTATGAGTGTTGAGACTGATTATCAATCTTGTATTGAGGTCATAGCATATCGCTATAAGACAAAACAAACAAGCAAAAAAAAAACAGCAAAAGTTCCTTGTATTTCAGTACAAGGGAAAAAAAAAAGGATTTGAGAAGGCAGGTGAGAGCTGCACTTGAAAAAATGGTGACAGTAAAGA